CTAGATGCATACTTGCAAGAACAGAATATTCAAGGATATAATCTTTCAATGTAGGGTAATAACTGCTGATCCAAGGATAAATCTGACTGCCATTCTGGGGTCAAGAAGGAATTTTTTTTCCTAGCTTGTTGCAAAATTGTGCTTCAAACTGGGTTTTTTTGCCTTCTTTTGGATCAACAGCAAAAAACAAATGTGAGGTAGGCTGAACTTGATGGACGCAAGTCTCTTTTCAGCTATGTAACTATGTAACTATGTAACTTGATGGACGCAAGTCTCTTTTCAGCTATGTAACTATGTAACTATGTAACTAAGGTCTATAGGAAACTATATATCTCCACCCTAGAGCAGCACGCAGCATGTGTAATGACTGATCTTTTACCAGGGGAAGAGAAGGAGAGTTCTAGCATTCTATAACATTTCTTAATTTTTGTAATTCTCCTCGTATATAATATTCATACATGTAATACGTTGTAACCATTTTTAGCTCAGAAATCACATTCTGTAAAAAGCCACATAGTCTGAATGCTTCAATTTTGGCTGTTAATCATGGTGTAATGATTAGTTGGTATTGTAGGGTTGAATCGTTGGAAATAACGACAAAGGGCACACTGTGACCATCACACAACACGTACCTTAGTGTTATATATCTGGACACACCTCCATCTATCGGTGGTTAGATGGTTTATTTCCCAGTGGTGCCCTATGTCTGCCAAACACCTGGGCAGCGCCCACCTACATTACCACCTGGGAACAGTGGTTCCCACAGTTCTAAACTCACCTACGTTTACCAAATAACTGCTTAGTGGGTGTGACAAACTCCCCTTTTTAAGGGAGTTTATATGAGTGTTTGGAGGGGCCTGTTTGCCAGCCTCCTACCCTGGGACTATGGGCCCTGTGATAACCCATGTTCAAAAGTACTGTTTCTGCCCCTGGGACTTTTAACTGTAACAGATTCAAACAAGTGGCGGCGGCCATCTTAAATTGTCCAGCAGTGTTTTGTCGTCGAGTGTATGGAACGGTTTTGGGCATGGGACCATGTGCACAGTGGGGCAAAAATAAGACTTCCAGGAAATTCCAGAACCCCTGAACCGATCTGGGTGATTTTTAGATGTGTTGTTCACCCAGATCGGGGCTATCAGGGGATGTTGTTTGGATTAGTGGGGAAATGTTGTATTTTGGGGTACTTTTTCGGGTTTGTAAAAATGTATGTTTTTTCTGTTTAGTGTTAATTGAGTTAGTCCATTGTGTTTGTTAATTGTATCACAGGCAAGAGGGGAAGGATTGTGTACACTGTATGGGAGTGTCTGAATATAAACCTCTGTTTTTATTGGCTATATGTTTTGTATTCGGTGCCCAACTAGGTCCACCTGGGCATCACCTTTGCTGTAAAACTTGTATAAAAGACCAGTGTGTGCCCTTAAACTTTCTGTTCTTGAATTACCCTCAACATAGAGCCTCGTCTCTAACCAGTTAACCAGTGACAGTAAAAAACATTCAAAAGTCTTACTAAACATTTTTAAGCAGCCCCTCAGCCCCTGTCCCCCATACAACAATCCCAGCCCTCCCATTACAGGCCCCTGTTGTACCACTATAACCACTATCTCTCACCCACAACAGCCCCTACCCCTCCACCGCAGCCTCTATCCTCCTATTATAGACCCTGTAAGGAAACCTAGTATATCCAATACTCATTCGGTAGTTTCCTTCCGAACAGCCAGAGCATCAATAGATATTCCTCTCCGTTCGGTAGATAAAATAAACGATTCCCTTACGAATGCAATAGCTTTACCAGACGATTCCCTTAGTAAAGCATACGAATACCCAAACATCAGCCGGAGTCTAGAAGAAGGGGGCAACAGAACTGAGCTTTATTGTGCCACACTGGCTTTTATGCAAGTCCCCGTGCAAGGGGACATCCCACAGGGAGGGACATGGTACAGCCAATCATAACAAGAAAAATAGTTATACACTTCCATTGCAAACATACAATTCCCTCCCCTGGACCTGGATATAATTAAGGCAGATAAAATAATAACTTCATTATCTCCAGGCAGAAAAAGTACAATTTTCCCCAACTTTCACAACACCCCTAAAAACATGGGGTATCCCCTTAAAAGTCATATCCCCTGATAGCCCTGATCTGGATGACCAACATATCCAAAATCACCCAGATCAGTTCAGGGGTTCTCAAATTCCATGGAGGTCTTAGGTGACCGGCTTCCCATGAGATTGCTGCCCAAAACAGTTCCATGAGTTTGGGTGATTTGCTGGTCTATTTCGTGACGTTAAAATAAACTAATAATCCCACGAACGGTTTCCCCTGGCTCCTAGCAGCGATTGTTCCCCTCATATGAATGCACAAAAGTACCGAACAGCGCTCTCCTAGCTGTTCGGGAAACAAAGATCCAGCATTTGTATGTTGGGACCAGTGTACGGGTAGTCGAGTATCCGATTTAAGTTCCAGACACTCGACGACCATGTCCCGCTGCCTTTGTTCGCACAAACAAGATGGCCACCATTTTCTCAGCCACGTGGCGTTCGGCAATACGAACGGTGGCCGCACAGGTAGAGGGTTTAATTGAAGCATGCTTTTGAAGTTAACGAGCCAGGGGGGTGGTCTCTGTTTGGTAGTTACATCTACCGAATGGAAAGGGGAGAAATAACTAACACAAAGAGGGATTTCTTCACAGACCCTATCCTTCCACAATAGCCCCTACCCCTCTCTACAGCCCATAAACCCAATTACAATCCCTATCCTTCCACCACAGCCTCTATCCTCTTATTATAGACCCTATCCTTCCACGACAGCCTGTATCTCCCCTCTACAGCATCTATCCCCCCACTATAGCCCCTATACTTCTACCATGGCCCTACTACTCCTCTAGAGCCTCATCCTCCCACTATATCATGTATCCCCCTGCCACAGCCCTTACCCCCAACTACAGCCCCATTCCCCTCTCTACAACCACAATACCTCTTCTACAGCTCCTACCCCCCTCTACAGACCCTTATCCTCCCACTATGGCCTCTACCCCCCTCTACAGCCGCTATCTTCCCACTATAGCCCCTACCTCCCCTCTACAGTCCCTATCCTCCCACTATAGCCACTACCCCCCTTTACAGCTCCTGTACTCCCACTATAGCCCCTACCTCCCCTCTACAGCCCCTATCCTCCCACTATAGCCCATATCCCCTCTACAGCCCCTATTCTCCCACTATAGCCCCTACCCCCCTACACCACCAGTCCTCCAACTATAGACCCTACCTGCCCTCTTCAGCCCCTATCCTCCCACTATAGCCTATATCCTCTCACTATAGCCCCTACCTGGCCTCTCCAGCCTCTATCCTTCCACTACAGCCCCTACCCTCCCACTATAGCCCCTACCTGCCCTCTACAGCCTCTATCCTCCCACTATAGCTCCTACCTCCCCTCTACCCTATATCCTCCCACTATAGCCTCTATCCTTCCACTATAGCCTTTATCCTCCTACTATAGCCCCTACCTGGCCTCTATAGCCTCTATCCTCCCACTACAGCCCCTATCCTCCCACTATAGCCCCTACCTGCCCTCTACAGCCCCTTCCCTCCCATTATAGCCCCTAATTGCCTTCTACTGCCCTACCCTCCCACTATGGCCGCTAGCCCTCTCTACAGCCCCTATCCTCCCACTATATCTATCCTCCCACTATAGCCCCTACCTCCCCTCTACAGCCCCTACGTCCCCTCTACAGCCCCTATCCTCCCACTATAGCCCCTACCTACCCTCTACAGCCCCTACCCTCCCACTATAGTCCCTACGTCCCCTCTACAGCCCCTATCCTCCCACTATATCTATCCTCCCACTATAGCCCCTACCTCCCCTCTACAGCCCCTACCCTCCCACTATAGCCCCTATCCTCCCACTATAGCCTCAATCCATACACTATAGCACATATATAACCCAATGGTGATTGGCAGGGAGCTAAGATGGAGCCGCCCAGTAACAGGATAAAAAGGGGGGGGGATTTCTACATTTAATTTTAGTTTTCACACTTTACAAATGGATATTTGTTAAATATATGGACAATTAACCATTAACAGGTCTATTCATTAAAGTGAGAATTTAAAGTGAATTTAATGTGAATTTCAAATTAAACGCCATAGTAGCCGAACTGTATGCAGAATTTTTCCAGTTTGACTATGAGGGCCCTAAATGTGAAATTCGGCTTCATAGTGAATTCTCACCTTAGTAAATAGCCCCGTGTATTAAAAATCCTGCAAAGTAACAACCCCACTAAATAGCTTTATTACATCTTGCTTTCTGAATGTCTCTTATTATAAAACCACCCTCCCCCACCTACCTACCTACCCTCCTCCTAGCTACCTACCCACCCTCCTCCTAGCTACCTACCCACCCTCTTCCCATCTACCTATCCTCCTCTTATCTACATACCCACCTTCCTCTTTCCTACCTACCCTCTCCCCACCAACCTATCCACCCTCCTCCTATCTACCTACCCACCCTCCTACCTACCTACCTACCCACCCTCCTACCTACCTACCTACCCACCCTTCTCCCACCTACCTACCCTCTTCCTATCTACCTCTCCTTCTCTTACCTACCTACCCACCCTCCTAATTCCTTCCTACCCACCCACCCTCCTCCCTCCTACCTACCCACCCTCCTCCTACCTTCCCTCCCTTCTCCTACCTCCCTACCCTCCCTCCTCCTTCCTATGGGGGTTTCATTTTACCTTATAGTATAATTCCCACTTCAGAACACCTTCGTCCATTCTCAGCCTAAATAGTGTGTGCAGTGCCCCTGTCTCTCTGGTCTTCATTCCCCTGCAAATTCTTATCTCACTCTCTCTTTTCTCTACATTGTAAGTTCTTTGTATGGAACTGCAGTGAATGCTGAATTGTGAGCTCCTCCATTTTGTATTTATTCTGTTTATATCCCTTAAATTGTGCAGCGCTGTGGAACATGTTAATAATTCTTTCTGTTATTTTCAGAAATTAGAATGAATGTATCTGAAATCTTTGGCCAAATCCCTTCTGAGTTCATCCTGACTGGTCTGTCCTGGGTTTCGGAACAGAAACTAACTGCCTGGTGCTCTCTGCTTTTCCTGTTGATGTACATTGTTGTCATCCTTGGTAACTGTGGGATAATTATCCTGGTTAGGGCTGACCGCAAGCTCCATGAACCCATGCATGTGCTGACCTCCCTGCTCGCCATGCTGGATCTGACCGTAGCTTCTTCAGTCATACCTAAAGTGTTGGCTATCCTGTGGTATGGCTCAAACACTGTGAGTGCCGGAGCCTGCCTCACTCAGATGTATATACTCTACACCATGTTTGGCTTTGAGTCGTCTCTCTTTGCACTCATGTCCTTAGACCGTTATGTGGCCATTTGTCACCCTCTCCGACACAATACTGTAATGTCAAACTCTTTCATAATCAAATTGATTCTGTTTACTGTGGTGAGAAACAGTACCCTATTGGTCCCCATGCCCATTCTAACTAAAGCCTTGACGTTCTGCAAGAATAACCTGATTGCCCACTCTTACTGCGAGTTCGTCGAGGTGATAAAACTGTCCTGTGGAGATTTAACGCCCTTGGTGATATACATGGTGTCTTTAATATTTCTTATTCCTGCCAGTGATAATGCCATTATCATTTTTTCTTATATCATGATTTTAAAAGTCGTCCACTCATTGAAATCCTCCGAGGCTCAATGGAAAGCCCTGAACACCTGCAGCTCCCATGCTATCATGCTCTCCATGTTCTATTTTTCAGCTTGTATCCCTCTTGTCATCTTTCTTTATTTCCCAGATTCACCACTGCCCCTAAAGACACTTCCAGAGGTCTTGAGCTGTCTTCTTATTCCTGTGATTAATCCGATTGTCTATGGAGTGAGGACCAAGGAGATACAAGAGGGATTCAAACGACTTTACTGGAAGGTGCTGGCATTTTAAGGCAAAGGCACAAATCTATATAATAAATCCTGACATAAGGAAACAGTCACCCGTATAATATTTTATTGGGGATGTGTCAATGTATATTGTATTTTAAAAGGGCTCTTTAGATGAATTTTAATATGTGCAGAGAGACTGAAGCGAATATGATTAAAGAAATAAAAATATTTTTATTCACTTTTAAACAATGTTACGTAATCCATTAAATAAAAGATCTGCAACTGTGTCTGACATGTGTGGAGTAATTATTGAGCATATACTTAAAGGACCACTATAGTGCCAGGAAAACATACTCATTTTCCTGGCACCCTCAGGGACCCCCTCCTGCCTGGCTCTGGAAAGGGGAAAGGGGTAACAACTTACCTTTTTCCAGCGCTGGGCCTCCTCTCCGCCCATTCGGCTGAATGCGCACGCGCGGCAAAGGCTGCGCGCGCATTCAGCCGGTCGCATAGGAAAGCATTTACAATGCTTTCCTATGGACGCTTGCATGCTCTCACTGTGATTTTCACAGTGAGAATCACGCAAGCGCCTCTAGCGGCTGTCAATGAGACAGCCGCTAGAGGCTTTGGGGGAAGGCTTAACCCATTTATAAACATAGCAGTTTCTCTGAAACTGCTATATTTATAAAAAAAAAATGGGTTAACCCTAGCTGGACCTGGCACCCAGACCACTTCATTAAGCTGAAGTGGTCTGGGTGCCTAGAGTGGTCCTTTAATTGACCTTACAGATACATGGTGTGGCGAAACCGACCTCGCCACGTGTCCTTGGAGGGGGCTGCTTGCCCGCCTCTTGCCTTTGGACTATGGCCCTGCAGGTTAAACTGTTTATTTTCCCTGCAGAAAGGCTTATTCGTGTGATCTGAGTGCCATTCATCTAATAATGTGCAGTCAGATCCAAGCTATCTGGGGATATGTAGAAATGTGTGTTTTATGCACTAAATGTGTCAGTATGTAATTTTATGTCTTTTACTGTCTTTTTGTCTGCCATGTGGGTAATGGAGTTTGGCTCTGTCTTTGGAGATAATTAGATTCCTTCTCCAATTATCTCCAGGGCAGAAGGGAGGAAGCCAGGATGCATTGTGGGGATGTTTTACTTTTACTGTTTGAGCCAGGGGGAACAAAAGATACTTTTACTAACTTTTGAACCCCTGGTCTGATTCATGCCATTTTTAATATGTTGTTCCCCTGAATGGATTGATTGTGAATATGTATTTTTATGCGAATGTGATGTATATTTTGGGAGTTATGAATGTTGTGTAAAAACTGTATTTTCCCTACCTATGATAATTGTATTTCCCTGTGTGTACAGATAATTAGTTTACAGGTAGAGGGGAGGGCTATGTGTGGGATGTAACTATTGTGTGATTGGTTAATGTACGTTACTGTGTGTGTCCCTCCCCTTCATGGGAGCACCTAATAAAAAGGGCTGCAAGCTAGCAGCCAGAGAGTTCTATTTTTACCCTCAACTTGAGTCCTGTCTCTTATTGGGGGAATCTGCTACAAGGGATTGCTATGCTAGGCATATTCCCTTGCTATAATCACTGAGCTCTTGTAAGAGCTTGTTCCTGCTTCGTTCTGAAGGGAGATAGCTGCAGCCTGCGGTGCTTATGGTGTCTGGTGGAGTGCTTGGAGTCCTCTGGAAGCGCTAGGAGCATCTTTCAACGGAGGTACCCAGTCGGGGTGCCAGGTGATCCGTTACATTGGTGGCAAGCGGCGGGATGGCATCCTAGTGCGAGGAGAAGCAGCTCGGAGACACCGGTAACGTGTGGAGTTGTGCAGCGTCCTTATCTTCAGCAACATAATGGAACCAGCAGTGGCTACAGCAAGTATGGCGTATAGCTACTCCGTACTAGAGTTTGGCACGATGGTAGGGTTGCACCTGAAGTTTTACGGACCCAATCCAGAGGAGAAATACGTGCGGTTCGTGTGGGACATGGTGACCCGGAACCTACAACACAGGGCATTGAGGGAAGGCCAGTGGGCACGTTGGGAGAAACTCCAGCCACAGGTAGAGTGGGACGAGGAAGAAACCGAGGTGGCCGGTGGAGATGGGACCGAGGTCTCTCTACCGGCCCTACAGGGATGCTGGGCACCCGGCCCAGATCCCCAGCGGCAGTATGTTTTACAGGGAGGGGAGACAGTCGGTCTCACTCCCCAGCGGCAGAATGTGTTATTGAAGGAAGAGACAACCGGTCTCCCTCCCCAACAGCAACCAGAGGTACCCGAGGTAGAGGACCTCATAGACTGGTCCTGGGAGGACCCCCTGCAGGCAGGTGGAGATGGGACCGAGATCTCTCCACCGGCCCTACAGGGATGCTGGGCAACCGGCCCAGATCCCCAACTAGAGCTGGAGTTACAGAAAGTAGAGAGCATCGACCTCCCCCCCCAGCAGCAGCCGGAGTACCAGGGGGAGGTAAGTGATATTTCTCCTCCCCAGCCAACTCCTTTGTTCCCTGACCCCCCAGCAGAAGAGCTGGCAACTGGGCAGAGCGCCGCTGGCCTCTGTCCTCCCTTGTTTCCTTCCCCTGAGCCTGACTTTCTACAGGCTGCCCCAGCGGAAGGTGCCGTCCTTCCTCCCCAGCGGCAGTGCGTACCCCAGGGAGCTGATGGTGTCGTCCGTCCTCCCCAGCAGCAGTGTGTAACCCAGGGAGCCGAAGGTGTCGTCCTTCCTCCCCAGCGGCAGTGTGTACCCCAGGGAGCTGAGGTGCGTCCTTCCTCCCAGCGCAGTGTGTACCCCAGGGAGCTGAAGGTGTCGTCCTTCCTCCCCAGCAGCAGTGACAAAATAATGAAAGGGGAGACAGCTGGTCCGCCTCTCCACCAGCAGAGAGAGAGTCAGGGAGAGGAGCCTGTTAACCCCTCTCCCCAGCGGCAGTTGACAGTCCAGAGAGAGGAGCTTGTTACACCCTCTCTCCAGCGGCAGCCTAACCCACCAAGGGGAGATGTTGAGCCCCGCAACTGTGCAGATGGGACCGTAGTCTCTGCGCTTACAGCCCAAGGGGTAGAGACGGTCGGTCCTGTTCCCCAGCCCCAGAGCTGTGTACCCAGACGGGAGACGGTCGGTCTCCCCCTCCCACAACCAGGCTCCAATCAGGCTACTTCGGTGGTAGCGCTGGCACCAGGGCAGAGTACCGCTGGTCTCTGCCCACTCAGCAACCCACCAAGGCAGTCTACCAGCCCCCCGCACAGCCGTGGTGAGGCACCTGGACATGGACAAGTTGCTGTTTATCCAGGTGTAGTAACCAGTTATTGTGGGTGGGCTGTATTGCTGTTTGTGCTTCGTGGGTGGGTTACTGGACTAACCAGGGCACTGACCGGCAGGAGGTCAGATGCCCTGTTAGTCTGGATGGTAAAGGGGAGAAATGTGGCGAAACCGGCCTCGCCACGTGTCCTTGGAGGGGGCTGCTTGCCCGCCTCTTGCCTTTGGACTATGGCCCTGCAGGTTAAACTGTTTATTTTCCCTGCAGAGAGGCTTATTCGTGTGATCTGAGTGCCATTCATCTAATAATGTGCAGTCAGATCCAAGCTATCTGGGGATATGTAGAAATGTGTGTTTTATGTACTAAAATGTGTCAGTATGTAATTATGTCTTTTACTGTCTTTTTGTCTGCCATGTGGGTAATGGAGTTTGGCTCTGTCTTTGGAGATAATTAGATTCCTTCTCCAATTATCTCCAGGGCAGAAGGGAGGAAGCCAGGATGCATTGTGGGGATGTTTTACTTTTACTGTTTGAGCCAGGGGGAACAAAAGATACTTTTACTAACTTTTGAACCCCTGGTCTGATTCATGCCATTTTTTAATATGTTGTTCCCCTGAATGGATTGATTGTGAATATGTATTTTTATGCGAATGTGATGTATATTTTGGGAGTTATGAATGTTGTGTTAAAACTGTATTTTCCCTACCTATGATAATTGTATTTTCCTGTGTGTACAGATAATTAGTTTACAGGTAGAGGGGAGGGCTATGTGTGGGATGTAACTATTGTGTGATTGGTTAATGTACGTTACTGTGTGTGTCCCTCCCCTTCATGGGAGCACCTAATAAAAAGGGCTGCAAGCTAGCAGCCAGAGAGTTCTATTTTTACCCTCAACTTGAGTCCTGTCTCTTATTGGGGGAATCTGCTACAAGGGATTGCTATGCTAGGCATATTCCCTTGCTATAATCACTGAGCTCTTGTAAGAGCTTGTTCCTGCTTCGTTCTGAAGGGAGATAGCTGCAGCCTGCGGTGCTTATGGTGTCTGGTGGAGTGCTTGGAGTCCTCTGGAAGCGCTAGGAGCATCTTTCAACGGAGGTACCCAGTCGGGGTGCCAGGTGATCCGTTACAAAGAGAGTGTCAAGGGAGGGAGAAGAGAGTGACAAGGGAGGGAGAAGAGAGTGACAAGGGAGGGGGGAGAGATTGACATCCATCACACACACATGCAATGCACCCCTTGCACACAGTAAAACACACAATGCATTACACACACACACACAAACAATGCAACCCTTACACACAATGCATTCCTTACACACACTCAATGCACCCCTTACAGACGCACACACTGCATCCAGTACATACACAGAAACACACCTTGCAGCCCTTACACATACAAACACAGATTCACACAATGCATTCCTTACACACATATCAGGACATCCCCTACACACTCCACCCCCTGTGAACAAACTCATTGGTGGAACATGAAGGTGGACCCTGGGACCCAGACCTTGAGCTGTGTAAAGGGCCCCCAAAAAATGGAGCTGCTTCCCGTTCTCCCAGAACATTGATTTTTGTGACCACAGTTACAAACAGCCTCCAGAGAGCCTGTTCTACACCAGACCAGTGGAGCCAGACTGCAGCAAGAGCCCATCATCATCCTCATCTGGTTGTAAGTAGGCAATCTAGTATATTATTCGTGGCACTAAGCTCTAATTTACCTCACATTAAAGAAACCCTATAGTCCCCAGAACCACTGCAGCTTAATGTAGTTGTTCTGGTGTCTATAGCCTGTCCCTGCATGC